GAAAGAGAAGCTACCTACACTGTCTTGAAATAGGCTTCCGCCCCATTTTATATATAAAGCAACCACGGAACAAAGTACACGACCGAATGATTCAAAGTGATAGATAACCCTTATATAACACCGATCCCACGATAATCAGATCGCACGACTATGCTACCGAGATAGAGAGCGGGAAGAACTGGGTACAACGCTACACTACGCCTCAGCCCTCAAGCCAGGCCAGTGTTGTGACCGTAGGCGTGCCCATGCCAGCAATCCCATCCAATCCCAATGAGCCGGGGGCATGACCCAATGACTGTTGATGGCCATCGTGGAGCAATCAGCTCGAACGACGCCAAGTCTGCGATCTGAAGCACCGATCCGACTATCGGCACAACGCTGTCCTACCCACCACTGCTACGAACCTTCACTGACGCCATAGTGTGACGACGCCTCCCAGACCAACCGCAAGCACCCACCTTGGCTTGACCGAAGGAGACCCAGAGTCGAGCACCCCCACTCCAAGGCGACGTCGCGCCGGGACTTGCTCGGGGAGCAACCAATCCCGGGCAGGAGGACCACATCAAAATTCTACCCCAACGACAAACCCACGCCGCCGGCCCACTGCCAGCAACCGCGCCCCAAAAAGACAGATGCCTACGCATCAGATGAGGGCCGCTCATGGCAGCCGACAACTCCGGCCACCGAGTAGCCGCTCCGGCGGCCCACACCCCATCGGCTCCTCAATAAAGTCTCGTTCCCTTCGCCTAACCCAAGGCCATCACCAACCACCCCCCAAGAGCAACTCCAACGGGCCGACCCAAACGGACGGTGTTTTTCTCCGCATTTTTGTCCGTTTGGGTCGGCCGCCTGCCCGCTGTCCGCCCTTTTTTATTTTTGGCTCGGCAGTGCGTCCAACAGGCTGACCCATTTCATGACCGCGTGCGTTTTAGATCATGCTGTCGCCCTGATTTTGGCGCACCAGCGCGCGGGAAAGGTTCGCGCGCGGCGCGCGCTGATTTTGCCGCTCCAGCGCGCGGGAAAGGTTCGCGCGCGCGCCGCGGCCGGCGCTCGTTATAAAGAAGGCGCTCCCTGCACACTCTGTCCGCCGCCCACTTTCACCGCCTCTGCTCGCCGCCCACTCTCGCCGCCTCTACACCACCATGTCGATCCGTCGCCTGGGCGCTTCCGATTTTCGCGGAGTCCGCGAGTGCCGCTCCGGCGCATTGTCCTCCGAGATCTGGTTTCGCGAGAAACGTCTCGTCCTCGGCACCTTCGACACCGCAGAGGAGGCGGCCCGCGCGCACGACGCGGCGGCGTGGCGCCTCCTGAGGCCTCGTCTGGATATGAATTTTCCCAACATGTCGAGCCAGCGGGCGCAGGATCTGGCGCCTCTCCCGCGGCTTTTCACCGACGAGGATCGTCGTGTCCATCGGAGGCAGCAGCGTCGCCTCGTCATCGTAGAGAAGGACGTGGAAGCCTTGGTGGTGTGGCGCGGAGGCTTCCGTCAGGACATCGTCGACGAGCGCCAGTTCTACAAGCAATTGAGATCGAAGAGGGACGCGAGGAGGAGGGAGCGAGCCGCCTATCGGGAGGACAAGCGTTCACGGAAGCAGGCAGCTCAATTGAAACTGAAGCTACGAGAAACGGCGGGTTGGGACTTTGAAGACGAGGCTTATGCTGACGCCTACATTCAGACATCGGAGAAGGACATTACCCGGTTGGAGTCAGAAATCGACGAGTAGTGGTCTTTTCTTTTTATTTGTGTACGCTAGAATTATCTATTATCCATTTTTATCTGAAAAAATGGCCGGCGGCGTCGGCGACGTAGCAGGCGGGCAAGGGTGTGAATCCAATGTGCCACCGACCAGCGGGCCCGGTGAGGAAAGAGGGCGAGCGCGCGCGTCCGTCTTGTGTCCGCGCCAACGCAAATCAGGCTCAAAAATGAGCCGGGAATGGGTCGGCAGGCGGACGAAAGCGGACACGCGTCCGTTTGGGTCGGCGCGTTGGGCCGGCTTTTTTGTCCGCGCCGACCCAAACGGACGGCCGCGGACAAAATAGGTCGCTCCATTGGAGTTGCTCTAAAGGGCATGGCCAATGGGTGATGTCTCACATGCCATGTAAGATCGGATAACAGAAAAAATAGGTTCGGATGGAGAAGCGGGATCCTCTCCAGGAGGCGGATGCTTAGAGACAAAAAATATGGTCCAGTACATAAAGTTAAAAAAGTTAAAATGAAGAGAAGGGATGCATGTGTAGTGAAAGTTACTTCCTATTTTTTGATAAGATCCATTAGTAGTAGCTTGTATTGGGGAGAAAAAATCAACACATATACTTCAAATTACTTTTTGTCATAAGGCACCTGTATCCATATGCTACCATTATACATGCCCTAACCCCGCCTCCATGCCCGCGAGAAGGGACCAAAGCACCACCACAGGTCGTCGGCCACCTGATCTCATGCCAACCACCAAACCCAGCCCGCACTCACCACACATGACCACCTGACAGACCATCAAATCCGCTGAGGTCATCCACGCCGCCCCTATGCCGTTCCCGGCAAGAAACGACGCCCGTAGAACACGCATCCGTCGGAGATGCACCATGCAGCAGCCCACCAAGCCGCCGCTACCCGCCGCTGCCGACGTCATGCAACCACCTGAGGAGGTCGTTCCGCGATAGCCCGCCCCGAGGGAAGTGAGAAGAGGGGGCCCCGCCGCCTATGCCGGTCGGGCTTTGCTGGACGAGGAGGGGGGATGGCTGCAGTGTGGGTAGGGTTTCGCACCCCACCCCCACCGCTCGCAGAAGCGGGTCGGGCGAGATATCTATACCTACTAATAAAATACATATTGCTTATGTTCGTTCGCCATCAACATTTTAACAAAAAAATCTCCTCTCTGTTTTCAGGTAATTTACTCGCCATCACGTTTAAGTGAGAAAATAAACCTTTTTTTTACTGTTTTATAGAAAACTCCCTTCATTTTTTGGTATATAATCCGCACATAACCATTAGCTCACTGAAAATGAATTGTTTTTTGCGTTTTAGCAGAAAAACCCCTGCCGTTCCAAAAATTAACCTACAATCCATCTATAACAAATAGTACTTTTTTGAAATATCCATATTTTTAAACCCCAACTCTAATTTTAACATGGTATATATGAAATTTGATTAGAAAAATGCATAGAGTATGAATATGATGTTATTTTAATTGTTATATATTTTTTAAATGCTATTTAGGCGGAAACCTTAATCAATAGTGCACGATCCCGCTTTCTTTCGTACGGACACCGACCGGGATTGCAATGAACACCTCATTAAAGCTAAATTGGAGACGAAAAAACCATCAATAACCGTGCATGTACGCCTTGATAAAATCTTGCATGAAAGAAAAATAGATTTGTCATCTTGTGCCGACAAAGACGTTTCGGCAAGATTTATTAGGGTTTTAGTCATGATTATTGAGTTAGGGCCGTGCGGTATTTTTTTTTTTCGTTGCAACGCACGAGCCATTTTACTAGTATAGGAACCAAAGAGAGAATTGGTCGCGGGTCGACTTACATTTGGATCGTCCCCAAACCCATCCGAAGCTACCTACACTAGC